GCGGGGCGCGCGGGGCCCGGGGCGGGAGCCGGGCGGACGCCATGGAGGGGCTGCGGCGGGGGCTGTCGCGCTGGAAGCGCTACCACATCAAGGTGCACCTGGCGGACGAGGCGCTGCTGCTGCCGCTGACCGTGCGGCCGCGGGACACGCTCAGCGACCTGCGCGCCCAGCTGGTGGGCCAGGGCGTGAGCTCCTGGAAGCGCGCCTTCTACTACAACGCGCGGCGGCTGGACGACCACCAGACCGTGCGCGACGCGCGCCTGCAGGACGGCTCGGTGCTGCTGCTCGTCAGCGACCCCAGGTGGCCGCGGGGCCCGGGTGGGGGGCGGCGGCCGGGGACCCCCCACGGAGAGCGGCGGGGGAGGCTGGTGCCCGCCGCGGCCTCCCGGGCGCGCGCCGCTTTCCCTCCTCGCGCTGCCCGCTCGGCCTCTCTCCCGACCCGGCCCTGCCAGTGTCGCTTCCGGGCTCTCTGTCTCTGCTGTTTTTCTCCCCGTCTCTCTTGCGTTTCTGTCCCTGTCTCTCGTCCTCGTTGCTCGCTGGTCTCTGTCTCTCGTCTCTCTTTGGTTTCTGTCTCTCTCATCTCTCTCCCTCTTCTTTTTGCCTCTCGTCTCTCCTTTTTTATCTCTTTTATCTCTGTCTTTTATCTCTCTCATCTTTTTCTCTCTCATCTCTTTTGTTTCTGTCTCTTGTCTCTGTCTCTTTTGTTTGTGTCTCTCGCCTTTGGCTCGTCTCTCTCTCTTTTGTCTCCTCTGTCTCTGCCCATTTGGTGTCTGTGTTTTTCCTCTCTCTGTGTCTCTCTCCAGCTCCGTCTCTGTCCCTGTCCCTGATGAATCGGTCGCCTGTCATTGTCTCTGTGTCTCTGGCCACGTCTGCCTCTGCTGTGTTCCTCCCTGTCTCTCCCTCGTCTCTGTCTCCCTCCCTGATTTGGTCTCTGCTTTTCTCCTCTGTGTGTATCTGTCTCTCCTCCTCTGTCTCGCTCGTCTCTCTGCTGTTTTGCGTTCTCTGCGTGTGCCTCTTTTGTCTCTGCACATTTTCATCTCTGTTTTTCTCTGTGTCTCTGTCCATCGGTCTGTCTCTGCTGTTTTCTCTCTCTGTGTCTCTCTCTTTTGTCTCTGTCTCTGTGTCCCTGTCCCTTTCTCTCTGTGTGTGCCTGCATCTCTTTCTGTGTCTCTGTGAGTCTCTCTTGTCTCTGTGTCTCTGCCCATTTAGGTTTCTGCTTGCTTCTCACTGCGTGTCTCTCCGTTTCTGTCTCTGCTGTTTTTCTCTCTGTGTGTCTCTTTGGTCTCTGTTTCTCTGCGTGTCTCTGCCCATTTCTGTCTCTTCCCGCTGTGTCTCTCTGTGTCTCTGTCTCTGTCATTTTGATCTCTGCTCTTTTTCTCTCTGTGTGTCTCAATATGTGTGTCTGTCTCTGTCTCTGGGTCTCTGTCTCTGTCTTTCTGAGTGTCTCTGTGCACTTGTCTCTGCTGTTTTTCTGTCTCTGTGTCTCTGTCTCTCTGTCTCTCTCTCTGGGTGTCTCTGCACACTTGTCTCTCCTGTTTTTCTCTCTGTCTCTGTGTCTCTGTCTCTGTCTCTCTGGGTGTCTCTGTGCACTTGTCTCTGCTGTTTTTCTCTCTGTGTCTCTGTCTCTCTGTCTCTCTTTCTCTCTGGGTGTCTCTGTGCATTTGTCTCTGCTGGTTTTCGCTGTCTCCCTGAGGCCATGTCTCTGTCTTCCTTCTCTGGTCTCCCCTGCCCCCTCATCTTTCACACAGCCCCACCCTAATATCTGCTGCCCACACTCAGACTTGGATATCTGGGTCCCCAAAGAGGTCCCCTGGCCACGGTGACCCTCAAGAGAGGCGTCTTCTGGTCCCAGGAGGGATGTGCAGAGCAGGGCTCTGGGGCCACGGGAACGGCTCACTGGAGGCCTGGGGCAGCTCTGGGAAACGGGTCGGGGGTGGCCGTGACATGGTGATGATGGCAGAGCCTGGGACTGCCCCCTTGGGAGCGTCGAGCAGGAGAGGGATGGGGGCCATGTGCATTACCCTGAATTTTATGGGAGTCACACTCACCGATCCTCCAGAGGCTTAAGTTACCAAGCCTGGGTTGACGTTTTGAGGGCAGGGGCCTCAGACGCCATCCTGTTGCAGGAGGCTGGGCTGGAGTGGGGGCGGGAGAGGCCCCCTCTTGAGGGATGATCTGAGGGCAGGAGGAGGCCGGGAGGATGATGAGGGATGGAGGTTCGGAGCTTGGGGCTGGGAGAGGGTGTTCTTTCTGTGAGGTCCGGAGGCTGGAAGACCCTCAGACGTCTAGACTGTAATGCAGTACAGAGTCAGCATTTATTGTGCGCCTACTGTGTGCCAGACTCCATGCTGGGCACTGAAATTCAGCGCTGACCCCATGAGACCAGATCTCGCCTTCACAGAGCCTGCAGCCCTGTGGGACAAGATCCAAATGAAAGCATGGGAGAATGTCAGCTCAGAGCAGTGCGTGGGGGACGCGGGGAAGGTGGAGGGGGTCAGTGGCCGGGGCACGCCTCGCCGGAAAGGTGTCATTTCAGGCTGTGATGTGAAGGAGGTGGTTAAACAGTCAGGGAAGGGCCTTCCAGGCAGTGGAAGAGCCTGTGCAAAGGCCCTGAGGCAGGACCACACCTGGCATGTTGGAGGAACAGCGAGGAGCCCTGTGTGACTGGAGCAGAGTGAGCGAGGGGGAGAGAGACGGGGCCGTTCAGGCAGCGCCTTGTGGACTGCAGGGAGGAGTTGGGCTTTGACCCCGAGGGAGGTGGGAGCCATGGAGGGCTGTGGGCAGGGAGGGATGGAACCTGACTCGGTGCTCACAGGCGCCCCCTGGCTGCAGCAGAGAGAACAGACTGGAGACAGACCAGGGTGCAGGTCCCAGGGACCGCGCTGGAGGCAGAGGAGCCTTCAGAGGAGACAGTCTTGGCCGGGCGCGGTGGCTCACGCCTGTCATCCCAGCACTGTGGGAGGCTGAGCTGGGTGGATCACCTGAGGTCAGGAGTTCGAGACCAGCCTGGCCAACATGGCGAAAACCCATTCTACTAAAAAAACGAAAATTGGCCAGGCGTGGTGGCGTGCACGTGTAGTCCCAGCTACTCGGGAGGCTGAGGCAGGAGAATCGCGTGAACCTGGGAGGTGGAGGTTGCAGTGAGCCGAGATCACACCACTGCACTCCAGCCTGGGCAGCAGAGTGAGGCCCTGTCACACACACACACACACACACACACACACAAAACAGTTTCAACCTCCTCTGGGCTGCCACCCCACCCAGTGCCCTGCCCTTGGCCCCAACCCTGGCCACACACACAGCTGGGGTCAGTGGCAGAGTCCAGTTCTGTCTTCCCCAACAGACAGGGGCCCCTATCTGCCTTTGCTGTTCACTGGCTGTGTGTCCCGAGGCAGCCAACCCACCCTCTCTGGGCATCAAATGGGTTCTGACCCGTCCCATACCTGCAGAGGCAGAGCAGGGGCTACTGGCCAGTGGCGCGGCACCAGCCGGGGAGTCCTCAGTTTCCCCATCTGAGAAATGAGAAAAACACATCAGACCTGCCGGGC